ATAATTTTACTTATTAAAGCTCATAATCTTACCACTTGAAACATCACTAGCCCTGAAGCTGCTGGTAGACATCACGGTTGGAATTATCAAAGGTTTTTGACCCCTGAGAGACACCGTAGAGTGGGGGTGGGGGGAGGACCAGGGAGGATGATTCAACCACTCAACCACTAGATGTCACTGAAAACAACTAATCCTACACACTGTGCCTTTAAACTGGTGACATGACTTTAAACTGGTGACTGACTGTATCATATGTTGGTGATGGCAGCTCCCACCARATTTCAGCTCAAAATGTCTTGTGGACCACCCTGACCGTCCTCTTCATCAGATGGAGTCAGAGGCTTCGTCAGTTTTCTATAATACAGACCACCATCACCATCTCCAATAAGTCTTCAGTTAAATGAGTTACAACATTTCATTTCCCTTTAGGATCAATAAAAAGTATTTCTGAACAGAACTGAATTGTCTAAGAAAGGCTAAGTGCCATTTGAATGTAGTTTTGGTCGCCACCTTAGGTTATTTACTTGAATTTAGATTTAGTTAAAGATTATTTCCTGGGTACCACACTAATTTTCAGCTGTGTAAATGTTTAAAAAAGGCTAAATTATAGCTCTTAGCAGATGGCTTAGTGATGTGTTTGGGACAATTCTTACCTGCAGCACAGGTTTCAGCTCAACAAGTCTTAAAATAGCTGAATTATAGCCATTAACTGTGGTGGCCATCTTGAATTTTTGACTAGCATGTAGAATTGACTAATTTTCAGCCTTTTTCTGGTTAAATTATAGCTGTTTGTGGTTAGCTTAAGTTAAAAGCAATCAACATGGTTCTTGGATCATGATCACACAAACTTGAATCACATTCATACACTGATGGGACATCAGAGGCATTGGGGGTGAAGTGTCTTGCTCAAGGACACAACAACTGAGGCAGCTGGACGGGATCAAACCAGCGACCTACCAGTTCCAGGACGACTGTCCTAACCACTCTGCCACAGCCGCCCCTAACACAGGACTACATTTGTAATGTGTGTAAAGTATGATGTATGATAATACTTTGTGATATAAATCTTTTGCACTTTTACGGTGATGTATGTGTGGCTAACACAAATTGTATCATTTGTGTGCTTTTTGTCTTTTTTATTATTAAAAATGTGAGCTTTTTGTCTTGTGAGCATGTCAGGGAGTTCCCATCAGTGTATGAATGTGATTAGTCTCCATAGACCAGTGGTTCCCAAATTTTTTATCTTCTGACCCACAAAATATTCATGCCAAAGACTTGTGACCCCAAACATTACTGGTCTGAGTACTTAAACTTTGTTAATAACCCTAAAAATAAAGGCTGCACAAATACAAATACTTATGTATACTTATTTTGTTTTTGTAATAATTATAGGGAAAATATTACATAAACAAGTATTTTATTACCCTTTAAATTGATTTCTGAAGTGCACTGGTTCCCAAACTTTTCAGCTTTTGACCCACAAAATAACAGTAGCAGAGACCTGAGCCCACAACTATGTTTGGATGATAAACATTTGTATCAGGTCAACTAAACATGGGCTTAGTAACAATATTTATTATTCTACATTTATACATTTTAGGCAACTAAGGTAAAAATGTATTTAAATTAGAAAATCTTTCAGGACCCCACCTTGATGTTTCAGGACCCCATTTTGGGTCCCGACCCCAACTTTGGGAACCACTGCTAGATGATTGTACATGTTATCTTTGTAGAGACCTAACAGAGTGTGAATGGATAAATGAGGACACAGATTGTAGWGTGAAGAGCTTTGAGTGTCCTGGATGGATAGAAAGGCTCTACATAAGTACAGTCRYTTTACTGTTTAAACCACCATGATGAAATTTGAATAGGAGCAAAAAAGATGTTTTATCTGCAGACTTTCATTGTTTAAAATATTTTTTAAAGGAGCAGATATAAGAATTTTTTCTTCTTCTGCTGCCTTTCAGTTTATTTTGTATTATTTTGTTGTGTGTAAAATGTTTTGTTTGTTTTTTAATTAAATTAATAAAAAGAATTTGACTTTACTTGACTTGATTTTTAGCTTTAATTTGAAAGTTTTCCAAATCAGGTGAACGGTGTACAGATTTCTTCATTATGTACATGTGCATTCCAATATTTAACGTAGCAAAAGCGGTGGAACAAACATCATAAATCAAAGCTTCTCTTTAATATTTGGTTGCAGATCTTCTGCAGTCAGTTCCTCCTGAAGTCCTGTGTTTTGTGACTCACAGCTGTATTTACATCACTATAACTGTCTGAATTACAGACGTAAGTAAGTAAGTAAGTAAGTCAGTCAGTCAGACAGTAAGTAAGTAAGTAAGTCAGTAAGAAAATAAGTAAGTAAGTAAGTAAGTCAGTCAGTCAGTCAGTCAGTGAGTAAGTAAGTAATTCAGTAAGTCAATAAGTAAATAAGTAAGTCAGTCAGTGAGTGAGTGAGTCAGTCAGCAGTCAGTCAGTCAGTGAGTCAGTCAGTAAGTCAGTCAATAAGTAAGTCAGTCAGTAAGTAAATAAGTCAGTCAGTAAGTAAGTGAGTCAGTCAGTCAGTGAGTGAGTCAGTCAGTCAGTCAGCAGTCAGTCAGTAAGTCAATCAATAAGTAAGTAAATAAGTCAGTAAGTGAGTGAGTGAGTCAGTCAGTCAGTCAGTCAGTGAGGCAGTCAGTCAGTGTGTGAATCAGTCAGTCAGCAGTCAGTCAGTAAGTTAGTCAGTCAGCAGTCAGTCAGTCAGTGAGTGAGTGAGTCAGTCAGCAGTCAGTCAGTAAGTAAGTGAGTCAGTCAGTCAGTCAGTGAGTGAGTCAGTCAGCAGTCAGTAAGTAAGTGAGTCAGTCAGTCAGTCAGTGAGTGAGTAATTCAGTCAGTCAGTAAGTAAGTCAGTCAGCCAGTCAGTCAGTCAGTGAGTCAGTCAGTGAGCCAGTCAGTCAGTGAGTGAGTGAGTCAATCAGTCAGTCAGTCAGTCAGTGAGTGAGTGAGTGAGTGAGTGAGTGAGTGAGTGAGTGAGTGAGTGAGTGA